CTGTGACAACCAAATATGTCTCCAGACATTACCAAAAGTCTCTGGGGGTGCAGAATCATCCTGGCTAAGAACCACTGGTCTACAGCTTTCATGTCTTGGTGAGTCCAGAATTCCACAGCTTCCAGAACTACTTCTCTCGAAATTTATTGATTTCCATTGATTCCTTGGTAGTATCACATTGATGAGAACTTACATTTTTATGGCCTTAACAGAGAAGTTTAGTTACTTAAAAAAAATCATATATATCCTGCTGCATTACTTTCTATAATTTTTTAAAGTTGTTTTTGTCATCAGGAGGATTGGAAGCAGTGAACAAAGCCAAATTTATGTATGACACTATTTGTGAAGTTAGGAATTACCAAATTAGCACTTATAGCATTTGTGAGGCCTGGGTACTGGCTACTCCTTTTCAATTTGGGCCACTACAAACTCTTCTGGGAGTGCCCCTCAGCTGGGTGGCCAACTGACTCTACAGAATTCAGGACATACTCCTAAAAAAATCCACAGTTCTTGGATTGCTGGTGACCAAGTCAAGTAGAAACGGTAGTAACTACTATGGCCTGTTAAGTGCTTGCCGTGTTCTAGGCCCTCTGGTAGGATCTATAAATATTTATCTCATTTAAACCTTACATAAAAATTATTTTTATCCTACAGATGAGGGGAAAACTTCAGAAATGTGGTTGAACTGGCTGAAGACATAATTGTAGTGTTGATTTTGGGACTGACACCCAAACCACTCTGGTCCCATCACTACGGTCTGCATCCCCCTTGACCTGGGCATCTGGGCTGTGCACACACTTCTCTATGTTACAGTGCCTCACATGATACTTGGCATTCAGCTGATGTGCAGTAAATGTGATATCAGGAAAGAAGGAAGAGCGGCAGGGAAGAAGGAAGTCTCCACGCTAGCTCCAGAGTGCTGTTGATAATTGGAGCAGTCTTTGACACCTCTGACTCATTAGGGCAAAATTAAAATAGTAATTATAATGATACAATACACACACGTCCAATCTTGGTACCTTTAAAGGCTTTGAGAAGTGACCATGTAATGCCTACTTAATGTATGTTTTTGGTGTAGAGTAGGGGTCAAAATCAAGGTCACTTCCCAGAGAGCAGCTGGAACTACAACTTGATCTCTGATCTCCCAAACTGTGTGAAAAGAGAAGGAAGAACTGCAGAAAGATGAGTACATTATCAGTTGATAGCAACAATAGAAAATTCCTTTGCCAAAAAATTTCTACCATGCCACAAAGATTTAAAAGAAACTAAAAGAAGAGAATTAATTTTCTCTCTCATCTGCCAGAATGCTCGATAGTAACTGCCTGTTAGCAGCTGGAGAAAATATCACAACTTGATCACTGTCCTTGCTCACTTCTGCTTCTTTGAAACGTCTCTTCCTGGGTTTTGTTTCCTACTAACATTTTAAAAATAAGATTCTGTGATTTCACTTCTCTTATTCACCTTTCTCTGTTCTTTAAAAATAAGTACACAGTTAAAAAAAAGGACAAATGTCTGAATGTCATTGTGAGGTATACTTTTTATAAGAAACGTAGAGTGCTTTCTATATAGTTCCTCCCAGACCTCTAGCTTTTATTTCCTCATCACCTCATGAGGGGTTTCAGATTAGAAACCTATACTAAAGTGAGTTAACCACAACAACAGGTGTTTATAGAATCTTTATTTACTTCTAATCTGTTGCAAGTGTGGCCAAAGTTGAACCAACAACTATGTTGTTTACCAAAATAGATCAAATAAGGAGCATTGTGCAACAGTTTTCTAAAACATTCTCTTTGTGGAGGTCTCCTATGCAAGCTGTCTCAATACTGAGAGCAGCTGAATGTGTAATGCCCTTTGTACATTTCAATATTGTATATCTGGTTAACTTACACAAAATTCCTTTTCATTTCACTTTTCATTGAAATAAAAAACTCAGTCTCTTCTTTTTTTCCTTTTTTTTTTCTTAAGACAGTCTCATCTTGTTGCCCTGGGTAGGGTGTCATGGCATCATCATAGTTCACAGCAACCTCCAACTCTTGGGCTCAAGCAATCCTCTTGCCTCAGCCTCCTGAGTAGCTGAGACTACAGGCACCCAGCACAACTCCTGGCTGTTTTTAGAGATGGGGTCTTGCTCTTTTTTTTTTTTTTTTGCAGTTTTTGGCCAGGGCTGGGTTTGAACCTGCCACCTCCAGCATTACTCCTTTGAGCCACAGGCGCCACCCTGGGGTCTTGCTCTTGCTCAGGCTGGTCTCAAACTCCTGAGCTCAAGCAATTCACCTGCCTTGGGCTCTTGGAGTGCTAGGATTGTACGTGTGGGCCACTGTGCCTGGTAACTCTGTTTTTTCTTAATTCAAGTGGCCTTTCAGAGATTTCTGGGGCCCTTTTCTTTAAGAAAAATAAACACTGGAACCCAATGATACCAACTACCTCATATAACTAAAGAATTATGTTTCCATGGAGAAAATGTTTAAGCTGGCACCCAGAAATCTAATTTTTTTCAAATGGAACCAGGGGACCCCACATGAAATGTGCTTGCATCAAGCAACAAATGTTCTTTTGAGAGTCTGATTAAATAATAACTATAATAATGCTGCTGCTGCTGCTATTACTTTGTTGGTATTCATCATGGGAGGGTAATTCCTTCAGTCAGTGGGATGAAGAAGGTCTTCCACTGGTTATTTCATCTGTCTTCAATCCTGCTTCCCAAAAAGTGGAAACCTGGTAGCCTGGCCAGGCTTTGGGCAGTAGGACAAGGCGTGGGGTTGGTGTGCGTTTCCTCTGCAGATTCATTCAGCCAGTCTCCTCCCAGCACAGCCCCTGTCCCTCCCAGTGGAGGCGTAGCAACTTATGCAGGGAAGACCGGCGAGATTTATAGTCTGATTTTTAGTTCTAAGGTTAAAAGTATCTCTGATTTTCGGCTCGGCGCCTATAGCTCAACCGGCTAAGGTGCTAGCCATGTACACCTAAGGTGGCGGGTTCAAATCCCCAGCCCGGACCCGCCAAACAACAATGACGGCTGCAACCAAAAAATAGCCGGGCGTTGTGGTGGGCGCCTGTGGTCCCAGCTACTTGGGAGGCGGAGGCAGGAGACTCGCTTGAGCCCAGGAGTTGGAGGTTGCTGTGAGCTGTAATGCCACGGCACTCTACCCAGGGGGACAGCTTGAGGCTCTGTCTCAAAAAAAAAAAAAAAAGTATCTCTGATTTTCCTTGGTCTTTCCTCCAAACTTTTAAATTATAATTCACCATTAGCCTTCATAATTATTAAATAATTATCCTTAGTTCCTCCTAGCTTTATTATATTTCTTTCCTTACAGTATTGACTGGTTCGAAATTATTGTTCAAGCCATAATTACTTGATTTATGGTCACTGACCAAAAATTGCTAGCTGGAAAAGATTATATGTTGGGTAGAATTGTAGCTTGTTGTCACAGAGCTTTAAGGGAAGCTTAGCACAGAGAGAGAACGCAGGAGTTGTAGGTATAGATGACAACGGTGTGTCCAAACCTTCAGTCTATTTCTTTCAGCCTCAGTTGTCTTTGAGCAAAAGAAAAGTCTGAGTTTTTAAACACTGTCCCTTTAAGAAAGTAACATTTGTTATAAAGGTTTTAAAACTGATTCCTGTTTCCCCCACTTAAAATGTATGAGGTGGTGATTTTCTTTTGTATTTAAACACTGAGATTTGTTCTAAAATTTAAGTGTCCCTTTTTTAAATCTTAAAAAAATGTAATATAAAGATGATATAACATTTAACTTTCATTTTATGCAGTATCTAGCCAAGGATATTTTTAGAGCACCTACTATATGCCAAGAAATACTAATATATATTTTTTCTTATATAATAGTATTTTTAATTTATTTTTATTTTTAGATATACATGTGATTATTAGGTTTCCACTTTTTGCCTTCACAGAATTAAAAAGGCTTAAAATTTAACAATACTAATGTTTAAGATAAGGACTAGAAACAAAAACCTTGTAAAGAATGAATGAAGATAAATACATTCAGAAAAGAAATCAGATGATTGCTGCAATGAAGTGTTAAGCAATAATAATAGTAATGCAAAGAAAGTAACATTCACATTGTCAAATAAGAGTATGTCCATTATAGAATGCTTTGACTCTGAGGGTCAGTATGGAGTCATCAATTAACTTCTTCTTATGTTTTTTCCAAAGTCTCAAAAAAATAGACAACTAACATTACTAATATTTTTATAAGGCATAATCCGTCCCTTGGACTAATGAGGACGTTTCAGGGTTGTTTGTACAAACCTAAATTGACTTTTAGTTTAAAAACATGCCCTTTAAACTTCACCTCCACCTGTGAAAAATCAAGTCATTCAGAGAGAGGGAGGGAGAGAAAGAGAGAGCCACACCACCAGTTGAAATACCAACCCTGGATCACAGAATGGGGAGTGAATATCTGAAGCAGGTTTATTGCTGTCAACCCAGGATGCAGGGATCAAATGTGCATTGGCAGGAATTTCCCTGCTTCCTTCTGACCTACAAGGCATTTTCCTCACAGTTTAGTACGTGTGTGCGAGTTCACGGAAACCAACACCTGATGGGGTTGGTGAAGCCGGTCGATAAACAGATCAGACTTGCAGGTGGCAGCAAATCTACTGCTCCAGTAAGAAACTCCTTAATTTTTCCTATGCTTTTCCAGCACTCCCTTCCCCAATTTCCAATTAATCTTAACGGTCACAGATGGTGTCAGATAGGCCTGGAGAGAACTAGCTGCGTGTTTATCCTGGGTCTAAAGGACATTCGAAGAGAGCCCTGGAGGAGTGTAGGCAAGATTCCAGGTCACACCAAGACCTCTGTCATGAGATGGACCCGGCTCCCATCACTGCTTTCTATTTTATTAAAAAAAAAAAAAAAAAAAAGCAACAGTTGACCACAGCTTGAAAGACAACTTGATTCATTCTGTAAAAGTGAGGCCAAGCAAAGATTTTAGATTGACCTGACAAATGAAAGAATAAATGACAAAACTCAGTCATCGGTTACCTTATTCAAGATGAAGCGAGACAGAGAAGCTGCTGGTGGACCTGCTGGCCGCGGGCAGTCTTCTGCTGGGCACGGGAAGGAAGTGTTGTGCCACCCCAGCCACCCTGGTGCTTCCGTGGAGCTCTCAGTACTGCATGTGTGAGGAGTCCTCAGCTCCCCTCCTTGCCCTGTGAGTCACCACCTACTGTGACACTGAGCGATGACTACATTTCTCTTCAGTGGGTGAAAGAAGCCAGACGCTGGAGGTCACATGCTGCCAAAGGAATCTGTGGCATTTATAGTAAATTAAACTTAGCAACATTTAGAAAGGACGTAAAAATGATCAGTGACATTCATTTTAATGTGTGAGCTCTTGACCAAGTTCGGCAGCTGGAATAATGTAACCTGGAAGCCTTTTATAAGCTGCCTGATGCCTTAAGAACTTAATTTTCAAATTATGAGTATTGGTTCATGATCTCTTGGATTTCCCTTCCTGTTAGCATGCCTTTGTTTATTTAGCACTCCTTGCCCTCTCAGGGAGTGAGTAGGAGAAATCAGTCTCTGAGATTTATTTTACCTTATATTTAAGATTGTGGAGGGAGGAGAGCAAAACAATTTCCTAAGACGGGGTTTTGGAATTATCCGTGGGTTTTGATTTGCGTTTTAAGGTGTGATGTGGAGAGCTTCCTAACGTGGTCTCTGGAACCGAGGCCACTGAGAGTAGGAAAGGCGGCCTCCTCCCCTCCCGGCTGGTCTGTTTCAGAGGTTGTCACAGCTGACCCCGCTTATCCTGAGACCACAGTGGAAAGAGCTGTGGCTGCAGGTGAGGTGGGAAGGAATGGTGCTGAAGTCTCCCCTCCAGCCTGCCATGACCCCCTTTAGTCACACAGGGAGGTACAGACACCACTTCACTGACTTTTTATTTTCATTTTCTTGTATACCAGTTTATCGCCATGCTTCTCAAATTTCCCAGGCTCTGTGCTGCTTTTTTGGAAAACTGCAGTGATTCAGGTGGGGTGAGCATATGAATGAACCTAACTGAGTCTAGACACTGCTAGCACCCTTTGAATTAAATGCGAGATCTTTTTTCTCTAAAGGGATAAAAAACTAAGAATCAAATTTACTCAGGCACACATTTAGGTGCCCAAATATACTTTTTTTCCTTTTAGTATTCCACAAGGCAAAGTAAGGCTTAAATAAAAAATCTCTAGAGAGATTAGAGAAATAATACATTGCTTAAATCTACATAAATGAAGGTGTAAATAATTGATACTGGACCCTTCCTTGTGTTCAGGTTATTGTCATTGAGAGGTGGAGACAGCCTCAGACATCTGTGGTCACAGAAGATTGAAGGGGAAAGGGCAAAGAAGGTGATAGCTACGTTTTGCTTACTTAATATTCTTGCCTAGTGTAGCTCTGTTTATAAAGTTCCCAAATAGAAGTTTTTCAAATCAGAGGTTGAGACTGAGCTTTATGTTGGGAATTAGAATTCTTGCCATCTGTCTGGTATGCTCCCTATTCTAGTGGGCCCAACGCAAAGGTTCATTTTCCATATATTGGCACCAGGACCAGAACACTCCCTCCCCTTGTCAGATGGTCCCATTTAAGTGATCAGTTAAGGAAATCATTTGATAGCAGCATCTTACCCAGACTGTAACCGTATCCACATTCAGTTTCACATCTTAAGTGCTAAGCTGTCTTTCATTCAGCTTCTAATATGCAACCTTAGAAAGAGTTACTGTGTTCAGAACTCTCTCTACATTTGAGCTTTTGGTCATCAGGGGTGATGTTGAAAAAAAAGTCCAGAACCAAATTATCGTTTGATTTTGTTTTCTCCTAGTTCCTTTTTAAAACAGAAGATTGCCCTGTGAATTTTATTTTAATGTTGATAAGTGGCCTGTAAGTTTATAAAGGTAAAGATATGGATTCCCTCCTTTTTCGTCTAAATTTATATGTTCCCCTTATTTCTGCCCCAAAGTGTCCTTTCCATCCTTTTCCAAACACTGATATCAAGGTTGTCTCTGGTAACATATATCAGGCTTCTTGCAACTGCACTGTGCTGGGGATAGTCTATTATAGGCTCCCCTTATTTTTGCCCCAAAGTATCCTTTCTATCCTTTTCCAAACACTGATATCAAAAATACCCAGATCCAAGGTTGTCTCAGGCAACATACATCAGGCTTCTTGCAACTGCACTGTGCTGGGGACAGTCTAAGTCACAGATAATTCTAAAATGGGAGTCACATTGAGAAAGGCACTTACCCCAACACTGCGTGTGGTGAACCCAGGACCTGGCGTATGTCTGATGTCACCCTGTAAAGCTGGCCAGATGGGTGAGGCTGGTTACAGAGCATGCGTGGAGACCTCTTCCTTCCAGGCACAGTAATAAATCCCTCTTCCAGGTTCCTCTCAGTGGCCTGTGCTTCCCTGAATGACTATGAATTAGTATTATGACTTAATGGTTTAGAAAGTGTACTTTGTATTTTCCCCTCCCTTTGTCAACAGACTGTTCTCCTATTTCCATCATAAGGGGACTCTATCCCCTGGTCTCGGTTTTTTTTTTTTGTTTTTTTTTTTTTCCCTCCACCAAGCATGTCTTTGACATGCAAGCAGCTTCTGTTATAGCCTGGCCTGGTCAAAACTAGGAGCTTAGTTTCCCATTGGCTTTTCACGACTCTCAATTGTAAGATGAAGCTGGGCTAATCTTTTGTTTCCTTCACTCTAAGGGAACAAATGGTGAATGATTCTGCAGTTGAAAGGGCCCCAGATATGCTTACAGTTAGGGACTGAGTCATAGGAACACTGGGGAGATTCTTTGAGGAAAGATTTTTCATATTTCCAGAAGACACAACCTTGTAGCTTACTCAAATAAAAGGTCCTGTGTTGAAAAGTGGGGATTATTGTTCTGGAAAGTTAGATGGAACAAGAGAGAAGGTGGTGGAGAATGGATGGAACAAATGACCAGAAACACTGGGGATTCCCAGCAATAGGGGGATTTTTGAGAAAGAGGGGTGGATGGTGGACGCTTGGTGAGAAAGATGTGACTCTCACAGAGGGAGGGAGGTGGATACTCCTTTTGGAGTGGCCATATTATGCAGAACATTAAAAAATAAATTTTCCTGGCTTATGAATGATTCGCTTGCTGTTTCCTGGTTTCTTCCAATTTGGGGAGTTTGTTTTTCCCAAAATCTTAACCGAGATGAGGAAAATATCAAATGAAATGAAGAGCAGATGCACATCTGATTGTGTAATAAGCAAAGTTAGTACTTTGCCAGTAAGAAAGGACTCAGTGGGGTGTAGGAAATGGGGAGGATTTGGAGATAACTCTCCACGTTTAGGAACTGCTGTCTCCAGACCCCGTTTGGGGGCGTTCTGAACTGTTGCTTCTGTGGCAGGCCTGTTTGACTAAAAAGAGACAAAAATGAATAGAGGGGTCCCTTCCTATTGAAGAATCATTCACCATTAGTTCATTGATTGATGATTAAGGCATCTCATAGAGTGTTTCCCTCTCCTTAAATAACCTCTGATCCTTGCTGGCTCCTTGAGGCTATTTGAGATTGTTGGGGAAAGGGTGATCTCATCCTTTGCTGATGGGTTATGTAACTGCTACGGCTTTTTTGAAAGCTATCCAAAAACATCTATTAAAATACAAAAATACATACTACTAAAAGGCAGCATAAGAAGTATGCATGAAGACCATGTGGCAAAGAGAATGCCCCCTGGCAGTGGGGTGGCTGAGTAAATTGTGGTACGCACAGTGCTAACAGAGTGAGATTCTGTCTCAAATAATTAATTAAGCAAGTCAATGAAAAAGGATGTTTTGAAATTAACATTCTCCTGAATCAAAGTTCAAAACTGAGTTAAAGCACTGTAGGGCAGGAGGGGGACACACTGAGATCAACTTCAGGTCCCACATCTGTGCCTATGATACAGGATTCCACCACTCAGGGCTAGACAGGGAGTTCCCCATTCTCTAGGACCAGAGCTCAGAAGTCAGACCCCCATTTCCAGGCACAAGCAGACTGCCTTCCTGTGATGGTTTTTGAGTGGCTCCACCTTGGGTAAGACCACACACCCTCATCCTTTCTCAAGGACAAGGACTGTAAAGGACATGATAACTACATTCATTTATTTGTTAATGCACCTATTTCCACCTACCAACTGCCAGCCAGGTGTAATCCTCTAGACCTGATTCCCCTAAACAAAGGGTCCATGTGGAGACTCCCGGGAGAGTTCTTTGGTTCTTTTCCCTTTCCAGATGCTCTGGTGCTTTTTACTTTTTCTATATTCCTTTCTAACTTCTTTTTTTTTTTTTTTTTTTTTTTTGAGACAGAGCCTCAAGCTGTCCCCCTGGGTAGAGTGCCATGGCATTACAGCTCACAGCAACCTCCAACTCCTGGGCTCAAGCGAGTCTCCTGCCTCCGCCTCCCAAGTAGCTGGGACCACAGGCGCCCGCCACAACGCCCAGCTATTCCTTTCTAATTTCTAATAAAAGCCCTATCTTACCACTGATCTGTGGTCTGTGGATTCATTCTTCGAATTCCTGAGATCAGGAACCTACTAAAAAGCAAAATTCTAATTATCCCCTATGCCTTGTTAAGTTTTGGATCTTGCTGTGGTTTTGTTTAAAACAGTAATAATTTAGTCAGGGTATCTTTTACCAGACACTTTAAAGCACATAGAAACAGCACAGTAAGAATGTTCGCCTCAGAAGAAGTGGATGTAGAAGACCTGGTGAAGGAGAATCAGAAACCACAGAGGAATCCACAGCTGAAAAAGACAAATTGTAAATTATACTTTAACCATTTGGATCCTGTGTGGAGAAGGAATATGATTTAAGTGTTTTCTTTTGGAAGAGGCTTGTTCTGGATGTTCCCCCTGTCCCCTTCTCTCCTGCAATATAAAATGTAGGGATTGTGGGTCACAGGAAGAAGCGGGGTTTTTAGTTGAATATTTAAAATATTCCTCATGAATGTAAATTTGTGCTATTTAACTGACTATCCTTGGTTTAAAATCTTGTCATGTGTATAAAAAGAAAAAAGATCCCCCCAAAGAATAGGCTGCCCA